ATGTTCCTGTTTCCTGTGTAGCATATGCATGATGTTCCCGTCACACCATGTGTGCACGCCTATGGATCCTTGGTTCTTTCAAACGTAATCTATATAATACTTCCCAACTATTCAGAGTTAAAATCAGGACGGGGTGAGTGTTGTGATGATGGTGTGTTACCAATGAAGCAACCCGCATCACTAGCAGGCCCACCCAGAAAAAGAGCAGGCCCATCTGCGGATGTGCTCCTTGACTGGCCCCCAGGCTTCAGGACCATGCAAGGAGTGCTGCTAAAGTGCTCCCTGTTTGTTCCTACTGCCTGCTTCACAATGCTCGAGCATTTTATGATGCATTCACACTGTCCTGCCCAGGGACAGTTCCTGGTGTTCTGCATCTGGGGATACCAGGGAACTGAAGTGAGACAGTAAAGTAGGATCCCCAAATCAAGACTGTTCTACTGAAAGCATGACAGTGGGGAGGCCTGATTTATATTTGTGTGAATAACCAGTCCAGCAGTTGGATTGAGCAGGACCTGATGCCATTTCCCAGTCCCGTACCTCCATTAGCTCGATTGCATTTCAGATTACAGCAAATGGCGCTCGTCTAGGTTGCTAGAACAGGCACTTCGGCAGACATAATATTACTACAATTAGAGTTGCAGTATTGGATATTCTAGTTATACTTTAAGCAATATTTTATTGTTTCACATTGTTTAAATCTAAAATAAAGACAATCATTACTAAGAGAATGTAGTAATTTCCCTGATTTTTTTTTCCCTAAAGCCCAAAGAAATTCTCTCCGTAATGGTTTTCTAAAGGCCAAATGTTTCCTATGTCAATATTAGCTCAAATATGTATTTTTCACAATTAACTGCAAAATAGATGTGACTAGTTTAACATTTAATTACAAATGGAAATGATTTCTCATAAACCTAATATAAATTCCAATATTCCAGTATGAGTCACAAACAAAACAGTTTTGTTTTTTTTCATTAATTTGACAATTACAAAATAACTAATATTCCACAAGGGAGTACTTGGCTTTGATTTTATTTACTGATATTTTCCAATATTTATAGGGGAAATCACTGTTTTTGTGTCACAGACATTATGTGTGGGTGAGTATTTCCAAGATAATACCAGATACAAATTGAACTATGAAAAAGTCGTAAATGTTTGCTTTTGATAAGAAGCACGTCTTAATGTAGCGGTTCTCCACTTTTGCAGCCATCCCTCATTACCCTATATCAGGGTACTCCAACCTCTGGCTCTCCAGATGTTGCTGATCTACAACTCCCATGATTCTCTGGCTTTTTCACTCAAAATATCATGGGAGTTGTAGTACAGCAACATATGGAATTACAGATTTTGAAGAACCCGACTTTATATCATTCATCCACGTGGCTTTTTGCAAGTATGAATACGTTTGTCTCAGAGTCGTCATATGAAATTAAATATAAACATTTAACTTAAAGAGGAATTGTCATTTCACAGTTTTTTTGTAAAACCCAATAGTAAATAAAAAATATACTATATTTTATTTTTATTTCATAAATAATGCTCTTTTTATTTTGATGTACATAACATGAAGCTGTCGAAACAAAGTCTGGGATACTACGTAAATCAGTGCTATGCCTATGTTGTTGTACACACACTTTGGTGGCATGAATATGTGCCAATGACACTATGACAGCTGGATACTGCCCTCTCCTTGGCCATGTTTAAATTTTGTTTAACTTGGTATTGGTTGGCTGAGAGTGCTGGAATAGTTTTACCCTATGTTTCTGTGGCGGAACCAACCTCGCCACTATGCACTGGAGAAGCCTGGTTGCCAGCCTCCTGCCATGTGACTATGGCCCCTGGGATGTATTGCCCTTCAAAGACATGATTTGGGCATAATGGATTTGTGTTGTGCTGCTGCTGGCCCTTTTAAGAACCATCTGGGGACATACTGTGGAGTTACTGGGTGGCCACCATTTCCTGTATCAGAAGCACATGGTGAGAACAATGGATGGCGGCCATTTTAACTCACAGACACTGTGTGGACTTTTCAACACGGTGCCATCTCGCCAGTATTTGTTGCACAGAGACATCGTGCGGTGGTTTTGGACTATACAGCAGGGGACACATTATACAGTGATTGTTTTTTATTTAGCCTGTATATGTTCTGCAGAATCTGCATTAAACTGTATTTTCCAAAGTACTGAACGGATCTGGGTGAATTTTGGATATGTGGTTCACCCAGATCCCCCAGTTCCAAGGATATACTTTTTATGGGGTTATTGCATGTTTTGGGGTCCCTGTGATGTGTTTTATGAAACTGTATTTCTCTGGCTGTGATAATTAGATTACCCATTGTGTTCAGTAATCATATCACAGCCAGAGGGGAGGATTTTGTGTGGGAGTGTCTGGGTGTATTGTATGGATTGATTGGCTGTTTTGTAACGCCCTGTGGGCTGTACTATGTTTGTGGATTGGGAATAAAAGAGACTGTATGTGACAGTACAGGGAGTTCCTGTTTTAACCCTCAAAGTGAAGTGTCGTCTCATTATTGGGGGAAGGATTTATTGTATGCTGTTCCAGTTTGACTGCTAGGAGAGTAAACCTATTCGCATGGTTCCTATTCAACTGTCTACAGCATTCATATGCTTGAGAGGATTCATATGCTTCTCTGGTTCGGTGGTTGTGGTGTCTGCCGCAGTGCTTGGAGTCCTCAGGAAGCGCTAGGAGCATCCTTCAACGGAGGTACCCAGTCGGGGTGCCAGGTGATCCGTTACAGTTTCATCCTACAAAGACTTTATCAAGTTCAGCCTTTGCCACATCAATTTTTGCTGTTTATTCAAAAGAAGTAAAAAAAATAAAAATAAAAAAGTTTAAAGCGCTTTCCAATTTTGCAGCAAACTAGGAAAATAATTTCTTCTTGAACCTAGAATGGTAGTCAGATATCTCATTGGGTCAAAAAGCTCTTCCCCACGTATTAAAATTGATATCCATGAATATTATGTCTTGGCAAGATTTAATTCAATTGATGTTTAAGTATCTGTACAGACTTTGATAAAATCGCCTCTTCAGGCAAGCAATTCCACATTGTATTGTTCTTATTGTAAATAACTCTTTCCTTTGCCTTAGACTAAATCTCCTTTCTTCCAGTTTAAAATGTGTGACCTTGTGTCCTATGAATAGCCTTGTTTATAAATAGCTTTCCCAACAATGGTTTGAATTGGCCACAAATATATTTGTATAATGCTATCAAATCCCCTCTGAGGAACCGTTTTTCCAAACTAAGCAGAATTATATTTGTTAGCCTTTATTCATAACTAAAATCTTACATTTTTTTATTAATTATGTAGTCCACCTCTGCATTTTTTTTCTAGTGCCATAATATGCTTCTCAGAACAGAAATCATTCTTTAGAAAAGATGTGTTTTTACCTCTGCATATTTACCAAACGGCAAAGTTTTAAGTTGCAGCTCTAAAACTACAAGGCCACTGCACCCCGACCAATTCATTGAGATGAAGTGGTCTGGGTGACTATAGTGTTATTCAGCTCATTGAAGTGGTCTGGGCAGGGCCGCCATCAGGTGGTGACAACCATGACGGTTGTCACGGTCCCGGCGGCCCTCAGGGGGCCCGGCTGCCCGGGCCCCATGTGTAGCGGTGGAACTGCTGCCGGTGCAGCAGCTACCGGGATCGCACGTTGATGGGGCCTATCGGGTGGCCCAAACATTTAGGGCCACCTGATGGGCCCTATATCTTCATGCTGTGTAATAATGCGACCGGGCCCCTATAAAAATGGCAGCCGCACGTTTTGCTGGGAGGAAGTGATGGCTGGTCACTTCCTCCCAGCTTACTCCACGCGGGAAGGAGGAAGCAGACTCGAGGCCTCAAGAAGAGGAGAGGCAGCCAACTCCCATCATCCCTAGCCACCCTCCAGCAATGAAAAGGTAAGGAGCAGGAGGGTGGGTTAAAAATGATCTTTGTGTGTATGTATGCCTGTATGTCATTGTGTGTGTGTATGTGTATGTATGTATATATTCTTATGCGTGTGTGTGTGTATATATATATATATATATATATATATATAGCGTAAAAGTGGAATGGTGGTTGATGGAAGATACATCAGGCCTGATTTGCTAAACAGCAATCAGAGAATTTTCAGTTAAATGTTAAAGTTTGCAATATGCATAGCTGATGCTCTGCAAAACATGGTATGGGTCCCTGGGGCGGAGTATTTGGAGAGCAGGGTGGGCCAATGCTCCAACAGCACTAGTTGCTGTGTAACAACCAGAATTTAGATCTGACTTAAGAGTTAACTAATTGGCACTCACCTGTAGCTAGTCAATTAGTAGACAGGCCTTTAACCCCTTCACGACCGAGGACGGTTCAGGACCGTCATCGGCATTTTTGCCTTGCAGACCGATGACGGTCCTGAAGCCCATGGAGCAACACAGGAGGGGAGTGGGCCTTGACAGGGCCAGAGAGTTGGCAGGTGAAGTTAAGGTCAAGGGGTGTGGAAAAGTAATGTCTGGACAGGGGGGGAGGAGAATAAGGGTTTAAACAACAGCTAATTTGGTGAACTGGCCTTTTTAATCAAAATCACACTTGCTTGATACTTGTCAGGTTTGTGTGGTCTGTTCTTTTTCTTGCAGGGAAGGCTTCTGCCGAAGAAATCTTGGCCGGTGTGAGAAGAATGGTGGAAGAGAAGGGGATGGCGTGGCTGCAGGATCAACTGGGGGTCCCGAGCACGTCTGCTCCCCCCACTGCGGTGTCGGAGAGGAGGCCGACCAGGAGGGCACGTCCGCCCCAACGACTCAGCCCAGGAGCACCGCCAGCGGCGAGGAGGAGGGGAAAAGGCGGCCCAGGCGGAAGGACGGGCCTCAAGAGTCGGAGTGCGCCGGGCAGGCGCTAGTCGGAAGCCCGCCGGTGGGAGAATGCCCCGCCGCAAGTCTGCGGGCGGGAGGCAGAAGGACACGGCTGGATCCTGTACAGCTGGGATGGCAGCCAGGCAGCAGGGCAGTGATGGTCCGGAACTTCAGCGCCCCGGTGAGTCCGCCCCTAGTGGCGATACTGAGGGGCAGGAGGATGGGGTGCTTGAGGACAGCTCGACGCCAGCGCCCCCTCAGGTGACAGGTGGAGTGGCAGATGGCAGGTCAGGGACGGGCTTAACCCTCACAGGGAATAGGTCCAGGACAGGTAGCGGTGACAGGGGCAGCAGCGTCTCCGAGCAGACGGGAATTGCGAGGGGGGGTGAATCCCTGCCCTCAGGAAGTTGCTGGGATGAGAGGAGAGGAGACGGCAGGTCAGCGACAGGAGGTTGCAGGGACATGGAGGAGCCGCAGGGGCTGAGGAGGAAGGAGACATGCAGAGGGGTCAGAGGCGAGCGGGAGCCCCCTATGGGCCGCTCTCAGGCGCAGCAGGACAGGAGCTGGGCCAGGAGGCGAGGAGTGAGTAGCGAGCGGTGCAGTGAAGGGGACAGGAGCAGCACCCAGAGGAGGTCAGCAGAGCAGGGGAGGAGCAGGGACAGGAGCCAGTCCAGGAGCCACCGGAGCAGGCAGAGGTCATGCACCAGGGAAAGGAGGCTAAGATGTAGGCGCAGTGCTTCCAGTTCATCGGGCGGGAGTTTAAAGGACCAGCAGAGGAGGTCTTACGGCCGGGACGGTCAGGCAGCGAGATAGCGTAGCGATAGTGACAGGAGGAAGGAACGCCGGGAGGAAAGGCGGGTAGGACAATACGTGGACAGACTACCCAGGTTATGTTTTCCCGGCAGGTCGAGGAGCGTGACACCTACGGTCCCGAGGAGAGGCCAGGCGGAAAGGAGTCGGCAGCAACAGGAGTCTCCGGAGCCTGAAATGGCGGACGGAAGGACAGCAACCCTGCGGCCGGCCACGGTCGGGGGCACTGGCGGTGAGTCACGAAGTACACCACACACTGGGTCCTTATTGGGTTGCTTAAAATCTTTCATTAACTCCTGGGTGGGAGATGAGGGGTCAACCCCGCAGTTTGGTAGGGTATGGTCGCCAGAGGACAGGGGAGATAAAGAACAAGGGGCGGAGAGGATGGTGACACGCAAGTCGGGTGCCGTCGAAACGGGGGACGGTGGGTCGGGAACCGGAAAGGCAGTCGGGTCTGGCCAACAGGTGGTCGGGGGTGGTGAGATAGCGGACGTGGCACGGCAAAACGTGCATGTGTCCTTCGCGGGACCACTAGGATGTCACCTGAAAGCGGAGGTAAAAGAAAAAATTGGGAAAGGGGAATTCATGGAAATCTTCTCCTTACTTCCGCTCGAGGAATTTCTCGACTTGAAGGAAGAGGATAAGAAGGACGCTAAAAAAGAAGAAGAGGAGAAAAAGCGGCGGTATCGGAAGATACCCAAGACTTTTGGGAATTGGCTCAGAGCCTTCTGTATTTTGGCGAGCGTAGTCGGGGAAAAGCACCCAGAACGATGTTCGCAGCTGTTTTGTTATTTGGACGGGATAGGGGACGCTTACAGGACTTATGGGGGATTAGCATGGTGGCGGTACGACGAACAATTCCGCCAACGGTTGGCAGCGAATCCGAGTATGAGGTGGGATCAGATGGACCTGCCTTTATGGATGAGAATAATGATGGCCCAGAAAAATGCGCCCTTTCAAGGGACGGCCGGTACGGCCACGGGAAGCGCTGTACCGGCCGGACAGAAGAAGGGGTTCTGTTGGCTGTTCAATGAAGGGCAGTGCAAATGGGGGGCATCGTGTAGATTTAAACATGAATGTTCCGGATGCGGGGGAAATCATGGAGTCAACAGGTGTTTTAAGAAAGGAAAATCTAACTTCGGGGGTGCAGCAGGGACAACAGCCACGGCGGTGGCGACTGGGAACGTCGCCGGTGAAGGTCGGCGCGATGCTGCCGTGGTTAAGGCAGTACGGTAATCAGGAAGAGGCGAGGTTCTTATGGCGGGGGTTTACAGAGGGTTTTGTTATCCCATTCAAGGTCAAAGGTCCGGGAACCATGTGTGCAAACCTTAAATCAGTCCGGGACCACCCGGGGGTAGTGCGGGAAAAATTAATGAAGGAAGTCCAGATGGGGAGGATGGCGGGGCCGTTTCCGTCCCCGCCGATAGAAGATTTAAGGGTGTCTCCGCTGGGGGTGGTCCCTAAAAAGGAGGAAGGGAAATTTCGCCTGATATATCACTTATCGCACCCACGGGGGTCATCGGTAAATGATGATATCGACGCGGCGCTGTGTTCCGTATCCTATGCATCATTCGATCATGCGGTCGAGTTGGTTCGGAGAGCGGGACACGGTGCACTGATGGCAAAGGTGGACGTGGAAGCAGCATTTCGGCTGCTCCCCATTCATCCGGGTTGTCACCACCTTTTGGGGTGCTTCTTCGAAGGGGGTTTCTTCATAGACCTGTGTTTACCGATGGGCTGTTCCATCTCGTGTTCCTATTTTGAAAAGTTTAGCACCTTTTTGGAATGGGTGGTACGACGGGAGTCGGCTGGGGGATCAATCGTGCATTACCTCGATGATTTCTTGTGTGTAGGGCCGGAAGGATCTGAGCGGTGTGGCCAGATATTGAGGGTGTTTCAATGGATAGCACACTCTTTTGGGGTTCCTTTGGCAGGGGATAAGACGGTTGGCCCCACCTCATGCCTTAGTTTCCTCGGCCTGGAGATTGACTCTGTAAAAGGTGAATGCAGACTGCCCGCGGACAAGCTACTTAAGCTTTGTCAGCTAGTGGACACAGCGTGGCATGCGAGAAAAGTGACTTTGCGAGGGCTGCAGTCGCTATTGGGGAGTCTTAATTTTGCATGCAGGGTGATTCCGATGGGCAGAGTTTTTTGTCGACGGCTGGCCCAGGCGACGAGCGGTGTGCGGTTGCCGAATCATTACGTGAAAGTTTCGGCGGATATGAGAGCGGACCTGGGGGTTTGGAAAAGGTTTCTAAGGGAATTTAACGGTATAGTGTTTTTTCGGGAGCCGGGAGTTTCCTCCAAGGACATAGGCTTGTTTACAGACGCCTCCGGGAGCGTGGGGTTTGGGGCTTATTTAGCGGGGCAATGGTGCGCCGAGGAGTGGCCGGCGGAGTGGAAGACGAGCTCGCTGATAAGGAACCTCGCGTTCCTAGAATTTTTCCCGGTGGTAGTAGCGGTGGCGTTATGGGGAAAGCAGCTCGCAAAAGAAAAAGTAGTATTTTACTCAGATAACATGGCAGTGGTCCAGGCTATCAATGGGTTGTCTGCATCATCTCCTGCAGTGATACGGTTATTAAGGCACTTGGTACTTTTATGTATGTCTAGCAATATAGTGTTCAGGGCAAGGCATGTTCCAGGTTTCTTGAATATAGTGGCTGACGCGCTTTCTCGTTCACAGTGGGAACGTTTTCGGGAAGCAGCGCCGGAGGCACAAGAGGAAGGATTGGCATGTCCAGCAGAAATGTGGCAGCTCGGGACATCATGCTTGGGGAGTTCATAAATAATTCCCTGGCACCGGGCACCTGGGCGGCATATGTGAAGGTTTGGCACGAATGGGAAGTGTCGGTGGCACAAGTGGGAGGGGACTGTTCAGAGGAACACCGGTTAGATATACTGTTATGGGTGCTGTGTCGACTATTTTCCAGGAAGGCTTCACCAGCTATGGTTGACAGGCCCATGTCGGCGTTGGCCTTCCTATTTAAGTTTAATGGATGGGAGGCTATAACGAAACATTTCTTGGTCAGGCAAGCCATAAGAGGTTTTCCGAGGGGTAAGAAATCGGTGGATACGAGGAGGCCAGTGTCATTCGCGGTGCTGCAAGGACTAGTGGAGGTTCTACCGGCATTATGTTATTCCAAATATGAAGTTGTGTTGTTTTCCGGGGCGTTTGTCTGGGCATTCTTCGGGGCATTCCGTATTGGGGAGCTGCTTAGCACCAACAAAGCAGGGGTTGGTGGGATTCGGTTGGGGGATGTGACCATTGGTGAAGATAAGGTACAGGTCAAGTTGTGCCGCTCAATGACGGACATATTCGGCAAAGGAAGCTTGGTAACATTGTTCAAATTGCCAGGGTCTAGGGTTTGCCAGTGGCTTGTGGCGCCGAATTCTTGGAAGTCCGCCCCGAGAAGGAAGGCTGTTTCTTCATCCATGCGGACGGTAAGGCTTTGTCCTGTTTTCAGTTCGTTAGGATATTTCGTGCAGGATTGGGTAAGCTGGGCCTGGAACCCATGCATTTCGGGACACATTCGTTTAGAATTGGGGCCGCAACGGAGGCGGCTCGGTTAGGTCTGGGAGACGAGCGGATCAAACAGATAGGAAGATGGGAGTCCATTCGGTTCCGCTCATACGTTAGACCGGACAAGTTGGTGTAAAAGGGGACTGGGGCGTTGTTTGCTAAGGGCTCTGCTGTTCACTGTTCTATTTCTTTTAGGTCGTTTGGTATGGCTGATCGGACATTCCTACATTTATTGGGCGCGGAGGAGGGCCACGATGAGAAGATACGGAGCACAACTGGGCTTCCCGGTGGAGGCGGTGGTTCTCACTTGGTTGGGTTTCCGGGGTTTCGGTTGGCAGAGCATCAGTAAGGAACTGTTCAATAGGCTGGCATGGGGGTCAGTCCCTAACGTAATTCTGGTTCATGGTGGGGGGAACGATTTAGGCTTGATCCCGCAGCGGGAACTGTTGAGGAGGATGAAGAGGGATCTGGATCGGCTACGTAAGCTGGTTCCTGGCGTGGTAGTGGTCTGGTCCGAAATGGTGCCTCGCTTTAATTGGAGACACGCCAGGGATTCGGCTGCGATAGCGCGAAGTAGGGGTAAGGTCAATAAGACCATGGCGGTTTTCGTGAGGCGGATGGGTGGCGTAGTTGTGCGTCACAAGGAGTTGGAATGTATGCTGCCCAGGTATTTTAGGAAGGATGGGGTTCATCTATCCGACGTGGGATCGGATTTACTTAATTTGGGTTTTCAGGATGGTATTGCACAGGCCCTGTTTTTGTGTGGTGGGGGTCGCTCATGTTCTTGAGGGGGTCAAGTCATGTGCTGTGGCGGAATAGGGCCTGGGTTAAAGAGGATTTAGGTGGAATAGGAAGTGGGCAGGCCAAGGTCTAGGCTGGACTATGCTGGAGTGGAAAATGGTTTGTAGGTTCTAGCTCGTTGGTGGCTACGAATCTGGGGGTGTAGGGGTGTCTGGGTACACCCCTACAGTTAAACATATGGTTATGGGGCCTCTTTGGTAGGCCATGGGTTAAACGTTATGTATTATTGGAATGTTTTATTATGTTATTTGGTAGGGTCATTGTCGGGGGTATTGGGCAAGAAGGTCGGACATAATTAATACTTGTGACAATG